TGTATATATATATTAATAGGACTCAAGTTATATTGGACACAAGTTATATAGTTACGCCACAGAAACAAAACAGGTGGCTGAATCATTCACTCAACCATTTCATTAAAAATGCTATACATATCAAGTATAGTGCACACTATGCAACTGAATGTTGCATCACCAAATTAAAAAAAATATATATACTGTAAATTTACACCAGTAAAGGACAACAGACTTTGATACATTTTATATTTTGCCACTAAATTTAACTGCAAAACCTTGAACATTTTTTGTGTATGCTAAGCATTGTACCATAGTTAAAAAATGAAGTATTCTTTCATTAATGTAAAATTAATCAGTGTTTATATTGTTAACTAAAACTAATAAAATTTGTTTTTACTTTAAATAAAGCTATCTATCTATCTATCTATCTATCTGTCTGTCTCTGTCTGTGTATAATACATAAGTATAATATATACATATATAATGTGTAAAATAAAATAAATATTAGGTGTAAATCTTACAAACTTACAAATCTTAAAAACTTTTCAGTTAACATTTAAAAACATTTAACATTTTTTGTTGTTAAAGTACTAATACTAGTACTAAAACTGAAAATGAATTAAAACAGAAATATAAAAAAAGCTAATAAAATGACAAAAGCAGACAACAATGATGTGATAAGCCCAGTATTGTATATTATGAATACTGTCAGCTCTTTGACAAATTGTTCTAAGTTGCTTTGGATAATAGCATTTGCAAAATACATAACTGCGAAATTACTAAAACGTAAACTAAAATTAAAATGAAAATTTTAAATGTAAAAAATAAATTAAAATAAAAGCTAATTAAATAGAAACTAAACAATAAATATATGTATAAAATTCTGTTTAGGTATATACATTTGTGCTGTCAAATGATTCATCGCAATTAATCGCATCCAAAATAAAAGTTTTTGTTTACATAATATATGTGTGTGTACTGTGTATATTTATCTTCCAATGATTTTTGGCATAAAAGAACAATCAATAATTTTGACCCATACAATGTATTTTTGGCTATTGCTACAAATATACCCGTGCGACTTAAGACTAGTTTTGTGCTCCAGGGTCACGTATATTATGTAAACAATTTTTTTTATTTTGGATGCGATTAATCGTGATTAATCGTTTGACAGCACTAATATAAATACTACTAAAATACCACTGGCATTACTTCAGTTGTTTATTAATAATGAAGCAGTCAAATCTCTTAGAAAGTGACTGCAGCAGCCGGTGACATTCAGCTGAAGGACCCTCCTGTACCTGAGGCACAGAAACATTCCCCTTTTCAAGCTCTGAAAGTTTGGTATGATGGCCTGCGGGAGAGGAGCTGTTTGACTCATTCTGAACATACCAAACCGACACGACGGGACTGAACACTTCCTGCTTTCACTCACTGAATAACTAGAACTGCATTTACTAGAATACAAATAATTACATTATAACCTTTCATTCCTTTTAATGCTGCATTAGCGCTTTTGAAATGCAAGTCAATAACCTGACTCATTTCTTTTCTGAATTTGGCACCCATTTCGTAATCATGAAATATAGCAATAATGCGTTTATACATAGCTATGAGCATAAAGTTTATTTATTTCAGAAAGCATACAATAAGCAACGGTTGACAAAAAAACAAAGTAAAACAAAAAGCAAACAAAAAAATCTAAAGAAAAACGAAGCAAAACCACAAACAAACATGGCTGAGAAAGTTGCATGTGTCATATGAAATGAATACGTCTAAACAGCCCCCAGCTCTGGTCTCAGACTGTCTGCTTTGACTGTGACGGACTCACTGGCCACTACATAGGACGCGGACACTACTGTGGAGTTGGAGTCATGTCTGTAAACGCGGGGATGAGACTTGTACCTGTCTTTGCGGGGTGTGTCAGAATCGAGCGACCCCTGGCTGCCTGGGCGCCTCCTGTCTATGGTCCCGGCTTCTGAGTCAGGGGTCCCCGGGCACCCAGGCATAGCAAACATGCCTGAGACATTGAAGTCCACATCTGAAGAGCGAAAGAGCAGAGGATATTAAGACACGGCCATGACTGAGTAAAAGACTTTGCAGACATATTTCCAGCACAGAGGCAGAAATTAGTCAGGGAAATTATGCTGCTTCTCTTTGGTCCAATCTGAAGCAGTATTGCTTGCATCTTTTATGGATAATGCAATTCCATACAGTGTTGTTATAGTAAACTAAAATGAATACTGAAACTATTAAAAATAATTTTCAGGCAACTGGAATACAGCTGATAAAATAAAATAAAATAAAATAAAATAAAATAAAACTTGAACTTAAAACAAATTAAACTTAAAAAACTTAAAAAATACTGGCAACTAACTGAAATAAGTTTATGTACTAAAAGTAATAAAATGACTAAATTACAACTGAAAAAAAAAGCTATATGAGAATAATATTAAAAACTAATAAAAATGACAAAAGCACAAACATTTTTTGTGATGAACCTGGTACTGTATTTTACTAATATTGTTACTCCATGTTTTATTATACAGACAAATATAAACAAATATATCCAAAGTCGCTTTGGATAAAAGTTTGCTAAATGCATAAATGTAAATTAAAAAATAAATAAATAAAACTTCAAATAAATTTAAAATGAAAACAAAAGTAAAAGTTAAAATACTATAAATACTAAAAATAAAATCAAGATGGAGGATGAAGTGAAGCATTGGTTGAATATCAATATATTTTATACCGTTCTGAAAAGTATTGATAAAAATAGTTCAAATTAAATGTAATATTTTTATACAAATTCTTAGCTTTGCAAATGTTCAATGCTCAATGCTCACATTAGACCATGGATGTAAAATTGTACTTCGCTGCATTTGTTGCGCAGGTATACGATTATAAACATGTTCATTTACAACTGCATTTTCAAGTCTGACTTCTAGCATCACTTTTCCATGTAGGGAGCTGGAAATTCCATGTTTGAAATTTCCGAGCTGTAAAAGGCAGAAATAGCACGGAGCATATTCAGCTATGAGCATTAGTCAAATCTCCAGTGCACTTCTCCTGAGCAGTCACAGGGGTTGCATCTCATTTAGGATGTAAGGCGTCTGCCTATCTAGACAGCTAAAGCTCACTAGGTTTTAGACAGGGCAACTCTCGATGGTAGTCTTACCTTCAGGGAAGAACCAGCTAGCATGGTTGATTATCAGTTCTATTATAGACACGACATGCACGGAGGTAGTAGCCGCCATCTCAGCCAGGCTTCTAGAAGAACAACAACAACTGTAACATATCAAACCATTTCACAAGAAACATAAACAAGGACAATTAACTATATAAACAATGCAATTTTAGGGGTAATGTGAGTGGAGTGCTCAAGGGTTTGTGTCTCACCCCTCTGTCTTGGCCCACAGTAAATTGGGTCCCAGTACGATGGCGATGTTGCTCGCTGTCATTTTATTTACGTCACTTTCCAGAGCAAGCTTTGCAAGAAACTTCACCAGGTACCTTCACAGACACAGATTAGCTTGTTACGATCACTATAGACATTCCAAGTCAATGGTGAAAGTTTAGTGTAGTAACAAGCTGACCTAAAGTTGGTCTTGTTGGCTTTTGGTAACATGTCACACACCACCCACAGCGCCTGAAGCCTCTTATCAGGATCAGAGATACTGCAGACCAGAGAAAACAAGAGGAAAACAGAGAGTAAAAACTTCTGCTGTACCTACACACACACACACACACACAAAAAAACACTTTTTATACGAGTTTAAAATGAAACATCTTTATCAATAATTCCTAAATTCACACACTTTTTAATTAGTGTAATATTAGAATTGGTACCATTTTACATGGCTTTTTCTTTACAGGAAGTGATATTTTATTATAAAATGGATAGTTCCGGTCCTTGATTCTGATTGGCTGAGCCGCATTCGAAGCTGTTGTAAATTACACTACAAACATACACCTTTGTTTACTTTGCGTGTTGCTCGGCAACCACTTTGTTGCAACCACAACTGTTTCTGAGGAACTACATTGTTTGGTGGAAGAATACTGTTTTTATTAATATCATTACACTTTATTTGCTCGGTTTTATTTTGTGAAACCTTACTACGTATATGGAATAACCGTTTTATAAAAGCAATAAGCCCCGTGAGGCCGTGGTTTACAGTGAATTTATAACAGCTAAGGGAGTTTTAGTCACTCAGCTTCGCGTCGTGCCTAACAATGCCCCTTAGCTGTTATAAATTCACTGTAAACCACGGCTTCATGGGGCTTATTACTTTATTTAGCATTTATGGTTCAAATTAAATTTTAAATTTAAGAACATTTTAAGCCTGGCAAGCTTCGTCTGCACACTTTGGTGTCAATCGTTTGAAGCACTGAGAAGCTTTTAAACTGAATCCATTGTACAGTTCAGATCAGAAACCCTTCGAGTTGTAAAGTCATCGTCTTCCAGTGTAAAAGAGAGATCAACCACATGAGCTTATGGCAGCTGACGTCAGCTCTCTCGACGCTCCACCTTAAATGACTTGTTACACAAGATCACAGCTCCAGAGATGACTCATTTTATGGGATACAAACATAAATGATTATGTCATCACCTATTTATGATCCCTAGAGTGTAATACTGAGACGTTTCCTCAGGCAGCATTTTAGTTCAGTGTGAAGTTACTGTCGAAAATATGAAATATGGCAGTCCTCACACAAAATATCCAACTGACATAATGTAAACTCTTTTGAACTATTTTAATGTAAAATTATGATACTGTTTGAGCATAAATCTTTCTAAAAAAGCCATTTTAATTTATTTGGCTGCAACCACACAAGATTCAGAAGACAACAAGGAAACACTAAGCTATTACAGAAACTTCAGTGTATTTATACTAGTGCTGTCAAACGATTAATCGCATCCAAAATAAAAGTTTTTGTTTACATAATATATGTGTGTGTACTGTGTATATTAGTGTTGGGCGATATGCTCAATTTTCATATCGTCCTATCGTCAGCCTGTGAGATCGCCGATACACGATATTATCGTGTTAATTTATGTCATTATTTACTTAGTTTCATTGCGAGAACATGAACCAACTCCAGCGTAAGGCTAAAAGCAGCCTAATGTTTTTAATATGACTGAATTTGTATTTAACATGATAACAAATTAATAGAAACATCGTAAGTTACTAATTATAATGCTTACTATCGTCGATACACGATACTATCGTCTATCGGCACAACCCTAGTGTATATGTATTATGTATATATAAATAGACATACATGCATGTATATATTTAAGAAAAATATGTTGTTTAGATATTATATATAAATATATTTAATATCTAAACAACATATTTTTCTTAAATATATACATGCATGTATGTCTATTTATATATACATAATACATATACACTAGGGTTGTGCCGATAGACGATAGTATCGTGTATCGACGATACACATACAGTGGTGTGAAAAAGTGTTGGCCCCCTTCCTGATTTCTTATTTTTTTTGCATGTTTGTCACACTTTAATGTTTCAGATCATCAAACAAATTTAAATATTAGTAAAAGA